TTCCTGATCTAGAGATACAAAAAAAAATATTTTTTAGTAAACATCGAGGTTATCACTTTCAAAGTCTAAGCTTAGTATTTGTACAAGTAGTTCACAGCAGAATTGTGAATAATCAAAAATGCTGTCAAGTAGCTTGGTTCTGCCGTCACCAAGGATTAAGAATCAGAATTACAAAGTCTGTTACGAATATGTACAATAAAGAAAGTGGATTGAGGCAGTCAGGCCCATACTATTAGTCTTCCCTGACCTACCGGTTGTTACTGTACATCTGGCAACGTTGTCCCTTTCCACATATGAGCGGCGGTACCCAGCGCGGCATCGCTGCAGCGATTTATCGTTTATTTCGTGCGTGGGTCGTGTATCGTTTTTTTGCGCTGCAGTACGGATAGATTAGACAGCCAGACCGGTTCGCCGGACGATAAGCTTAGATAGTAGATGTACCCGGATCGAAAACGTTTTTCTATCATTCGGAGATCAAAAGGGGGAAAATTTATGGTGTGTGAAATATGCTTAATATGTGCATAGAATTACCGGGGCTCGGAGCGTATCAACGTCATACTGAGATCAAAAAACTTTAACATACCCTTCCCTACGCCCTATAACTCCCAAGCCTCGAATTTCAACCCCTGCGAGAATTTTTCTGAAAAGCATCAGGACCCTTTGAAACGTCGGAAACCAAAGTTTGAGCAATTCTATTTTCTAGTTTTACTCCGACGCCACTGAACCGATTTCCAAATACTATAAATCTTTTTTCGTCCGTGACATAGTAGCAGCAGCATTGTGGGAAAATTTCATCAAAATCAATATTTCTTTAAGTTATATGTTCAATGATAAGCAGACAGGCAGACCGACTGAGAGTATGTATATGTCACATAACATCCAAAACATACAGTCATCTATTTTAGAAAGTTTTTGCCATTATAATACTTCCTTGCCCAGTGGCGTAGAAACTAAAAATTCTTCAAAACAAGGCATTATCTGTAAAATTGGCTGATTCGGTTATGTCGCTGGTCAGCTTATGTTTTCAAAAAATTGGTTACAATTTTCAGTAAGTGCTGAGCACTTTTGATTTTTTTTATGTTAATCACTAAATGGTCACTAAATTTTGCCTATTGGGTCATATTGACAGTTATGTAATTTTCAGTAATGAGATAATCTGAAGATCGACAACTTTGTCTTTTTTTGAGTCTAAAAATTGCCTTCTCAATTCTATTCTCTACAGCATTCTGTGAGACGCATACAGAAATATTTAAAAGTTTTTTGAATGTACGTAGAATAGCATTTTTACAACTTTAAAGTTTACTAAAAGCGTCACCCACAAATATTTTTGCATCCCTAGATAAATTATATCACTCATACTCTAGAACATAATTTTGTTTTAAAAGTCCTTGCACACTTTTTTCTGAAGCTCTAGATAGTAGATTTTGCTTCTGTCCTCTGTTAAACATACGTGGAAACAAATCTGTTGACGATCGTTTTATGAATTGTTTTACATTATATTTTTAACTGATCGAATTAAATCCACATAAATAAAGTAACACGTTGGAAATTAAATCAATTAGTTGCAATCGACGAGATATTGCAGTAGGTGTTAAGTTAAACTTCTAGTTCGACTTAATATAAAAATCGTTTTAACTTGCCTATGCCTAATTTTGTTACACTCAAGTGTGATCGCACAACACGGTACACTTTAAACCATACAGAGACTGAATGAAAAAATATATAAGTTGAATATTAACACATTCACAGTGCATGCGTCGTCGAGAGCGCTAAAAAATAATAGGCAATTTGAACCCATGATAAAATTAGCGTGTCATCTCAGGCTAGAGATTTGAATGATTTAAATTCATTGTTAGCGTATGAAGGAAGCAGTCGCAGGCGCAGAAACGTATCTTAGATCATCGAAATTGCATACCAGCATTTTTATAAACCGACTTAGTCGAGCATGTAGACCCTTAAAACGGGTTGAAAATATGTCGTCAAACTTCCCACGTGAAAGTATTAAATGATCATTTTTATTGTAGCTACCTGAAGATCTGAAACCTTCACAAATATTTACAAAATTATACTTGCTAAATATTCTCAAAACTCCATCATCTGCTTCAACAACTACATCATGGAAATGGAATGGAGTCTAACTCTCTTTCTGAGAATATTCCAAATGTGAGGCAATATTTTTAAAGCTCACCTAATACTAAATATATTTATAAATCTTAAATTTATTCTGTATCTAATTTTGAGCCGTAAAAAGGGACCGAACATGTGTCATTCATTTTTTTGCTAACATTTCAGGCAGCAGCGGTGGCCGTAGTAGTAGACTCTTCGGTCTCCTGATCAGTCGCCGTGCGCTGTGGGGTTCGAGTCCCGTCCCAGGAGAAATTTTTCTCTTGGCTATGGATGCTGTGATTGTCCGTATGTCTTAGACGGTCTCTGACTGTCAAACGTGGAGGTACCACCCGGCGGATCTCGTAGGCGGAGCCAGAATGTGTGCATGTTGCATGCACACGTGTTCCCTCGCCAGAGTCCGTGTGGCGTTCCCCCTTTTCCCCTGTATCCCCCTATAGCCCCACGGTACCGAATGGCTGTTTAGGCCTTCGTGGTAGTTGGAGTATAAAAAAAAATAAATACGAGTGGTAATCTTTCCTCAGGGCTTTTAGCTCTCTTACCATACGCCAAGACCACATACACATAAATGTACTTAACATCAAATTAATTTTAGTTATTGTCAAGGGACTGTACTCGTAAGCTTACTTGTACTGATCTTTGGCACGAAAGATAGTCGTACAGAAAAAATTAAAAACATTCAGTGGATCTATTTTCATGAAATACAAGCAAGACCATTTTCAGCTATTGTCACACTCGTTTTTGACCTTTCGTCATTCTACCAAATCCCAAATTTTGCCTCTTTTTAGACATTTCTATAGCTAATTGGTTTCTCATGTAAGATGAAATATGAAAAAACGCAAAATGCAAAAACCGCTATATTACCATCTTTCGAGTAACATACTTCAAAAATGTGACGATGGATTTTCTGCAATTATGTTTTCGCCTCCCTTCAAGCTATTATGAAGATTACTTATCTCTTATAAAAATTGAAGTGAAGTGCGAGAATTATAGGTTTTGCTTGAGGAATTTTGCAGAAATGGGTTAATTCATTTGGTATATGAAAATATGCATTTATATAAATTATTTCAAAGATACTGTAGGATTATTTGGGTACGTAAAGTATTAAATGATATTTGTTATTATAGCTACCTGAAATCTGAAACGTTCACAAATATTTCCAAAATTACACTTACTAAATATTTTCGAAGCTCTATCATCTACTACAATAACCTACATCATGGAAATGGAATGGAGTTAAACTCCCTTTCTGAGAATATTCCCAATATGAGACAATATTTTTAGAACTTACTAATACTAAATATATTTATAAGTCTTAAATTTATTCTGTAGATAATTTTGAGCCGTAAAAAGGGGCCGAGCACCTGTCATTCAAAAAACAAAACATCTACGAGAAACAAAATTAAAGTGTCAGAACCAGTTTTTGCTAACATAAATACGAGTCGTAACCTGTCTTCGCAGCTTTTACGTCTCTTACCATACGCCATACATTTACATAAATATATTTAAAATAAAATTAATATTAGCTATTGTGAAGGGACTGTGCGTACTTGTACTGATTTTTGTCACAAAGGACAGTCGTACAGAAAAAATAAAAAATGTTTACTAGACCTATTTTTACAAAATACAAGCGAGAACATCTTCAACTAGTGTCACACTTTTCATCTCGTTTCTCACATTTCGTCGTTGTACCAAATCCCAAATTTCATGTCACTTTTTAGACATTTCTATACCTAATTGGTTTCTCATGTAAGATGAAATAATATGAGAAAATGTCAATACTACAAAAACCGCTTTTTACCATCTTTTGAGTAAAATACTTCGAAAATGTGACGATAGATTTTCTTCAATTTTAGCAGTTATGCTTGCACCCGCTCCAAGTTATTATAAAGGTTACTTATTTCTTATGAAAATTGAAGTACAGTGAGATTTTAGGTTTTGGTTGAGGAACTTTGCAGAAACGTATCAAAACGTTGGGTATGTGAAAACATGCTTTTATGTAAATTGTTACCAAATTGCAACATTATTTCAAACATGCTGTCGGATTATTTGGGCACGTAGAAGTATTAAATGATAGCTGTTATTAAAGCTACCTGAAATCTGAAACCTTCACAAATATTTCGAAAAATAAATATTTACAACAATTACATCATGGGAATGGAATGAAGCTAAACTCTCTTTCTGAGAATATTTTAAATATGAGACCATATTTTTATAACTTACTCAATAATAAATATATTTATAAATCTTAAATTTATGCTGCAGGTAATTTTGAGTCGTAAAAAGGTGCAAAAAGTTTTTGCTAACATAAATACGAGTGGTAGTCTTTAACCTGTACTGATCTTTATCACTGGCGACAGTCGTACAGAGAAAATAAAAAACGTTTATTGGACCTATCTTTTATGAAATACAAGCAAGAAAATTTTCAACCAGTGTCTCACTTTTCATCTCGTTTTTGTACCTTTTTCGAAAAAATTTGAATCATGGACCCCTGGATTGGACAAGCGCGATAGCCAAAGACGGGATTTTTCACAATTCGACATTCAACCTATTCCCAGGTTTTTTGAGGTCACTTATCAGCCTTTTTTATACATATTCGGTTTCTTATGTAACATGAAATAATATGAGAAAACATCAATACTACAAAATACAAAAAATCGCTATGTTACCTTTCGAGTAAAATATTTCAAAAACGTGATGATAGAGAGTTTCCTCAAATTTGGCAGTTACGTGTTCACCTCCTACAAGTTATCTTTCGAGCTTTTGGTTGAGGAACTTTACAGAAACGTATCAATACGCTGAGAATGTCAAAACAGGTATTTGTGTAAATTATGACCAAATGGCAATATTATTTCAAACATTCTGTGGGTACTTACGTGTAGTGACGATGACCGGCGCCAATAGCACTAAGAATACGGACCTCTGGCAGTAGCAGAGGTGGACAGTGGACGGCAATCAAGGCACGTCTGAAAGCTTTGCAGTTCAAATCAACGGATATATTATCAACCATCAGGCTTGATAGTTTCTATACGGGCTGTGGGCGCCCCTCTTGTTGCTTTCCGTATACGAGGGTCTGAAGATGTCTTCTTTTTCAACACTGTGATCCGGGCTTTGCCTCAAAATATTCATGTACCAACTTAGAGGACCTGGGAAAATGAAACAAAAAGCATAATAGTTCATAAAAGTAAAAATATTAGTTTGGTGCCTCTACACGCTCTAAGTACTTACTTTCTTTACTTCCTATGCTACTGGAAATATGAACACTTTTGAAAATGAGATATGTATTATGTTTTTTGGATGTTATAAAACATGGACATCATGAAAAGCCATTTCGTCGCTCATTTCAGTCGGTCTGCCCATCTGTACGTTAACCCTTGACCCGTTTATAACTTGGAAAGTACGACTCGAATTTGGATGGTATTTTCACTCAAGATACCACTATGCCAAGTTTGGAAAAGCTTTATAGTTGTTTTCCAAAATGGAAAAAATAGAAATCGCTCAAACGGGTCAGAAAAAAATGTGTAGCGGTTGAAAATTCGGGTTTGGGGGGTTGAGGGAAGGCGGGGAAGGTTGTAGCGCACTTTTTTTATGTTCGTAAATTAATTCTTCTTCAACGCTGGTAATTCTACGCACATATTTCCCCGTACATTTGCCCTTAAAAGTGAGAAACATTTACAAACGCTTATCGTGTATATATCGCTAGGCGCGTGACTTCTTAGTCTTGCCCCGAGCGTAACCGCATCGCTGACGCTCTCGATTTCAAGTTGTAGCAGCGGTTGCTGGATTCGTCGCGAGAAAAAGCAGGTAGCCGGTGATGCGCTAGGCACATACGAGGTGGGCGTGATATTATCTATATATACAAGCATTACACTTGGAGTGTAATTTTATGAGCTACATGATTTTGTGAGTTCTTATATAGTATAACATATAGGGTGGTCATTTGAGAACCTCCCACCACCGATTTATCGAAAACCACTGATTGAAAGATTTCTCAAAGGCAACAACTATTTAACCAAAAGCTACTTTACCCCCTTTCACCCTTTGCCCCCAAGGTCACACCCTTAAAAATTTTAAATAACAAGGGGTATAGAGTAATAACTTGTTTGCAAGGACTTCCAAAGTCCTTTATTTTGACGTTTGATTTTGTAAAATCGGTTTCGAGAAAATTAGAAAAATCTATATTTATCTATCTGTTCAGACAGAAAACAGAAACACGAAAATATCACATTTTATTTCAACAAGTGTTCAAAATGTTGCCCGTTAGGGTTTTCCAAGTCTATAAATTCATTTGTAGTTTAAAACGGAAACTATCAACATAAACATCAATTCGAAGATTTTACGTGGCAACAACGAAATAACAAATCGAATTTTTTTCCGCCTTCTTTTCATCAACACAGATAACCTGGGCGAACATTGTGGTACCTGTTTAGTTATTTGTTGCTAAAGGAAAGAAATAATTTAATTTGACGTAAGTTACCTTTTTGACAATCTTGGGATAGCTTAGATATTTTATTGATTCACATGTTACTTCCAAAATGGTTTACACACTAGCCGAAAGAGAGGAAATGGTTCTAATGTATGGCGCCCAAAATCAATGTGCTCGACAAACTGCCATCACGTTCAACGCCAGACATACGGGAAGATAACTTCGCCTAGGTATGTTTTGGACCTTGTTACTAAACTTACCAAACTAGATCTGTTGTAAATAATCGTGATCATCGTAGAATTTTGGATGTAGCCGCATTCCGCATTCTTTCCATCAACAAAGATATCTTGGGCGAACTGCATTTATTGTTATGAGAGTTCAGTGATTTGTTGCTAAGGGAAAGAAAGAATTTAATTTGCTGTACGATGGCCTGCTAGATCTCCTGATTTGACGCTATTAGACTTTTTTCTATGGGACCATTTGAAATCTATTGTGTTTACTCCCCAACCTGAAAGTTTGGATGAACTTCCTCAACACATCATCGAATGCTGCCATGATATCCCACCCATGTTGGAAATGTCCGTCAGCAATTTGAACATCGCCTATATCATTGTTTGGTTGATCACGGGCAACATTTTGAACACTTATTGGAATAAAATGTGATATCTTCGTGTGTTTTTATTTTATATCTGAACATCTCAAGATAAATAAACATTTTTTTAAATTTCTTGAAAACGAATCTACTGATTTTAAAAATCAGACGTCAAAATAAAGGACTTCAGAAGACCTTTCAAACAAGCTATTATTCGATACTAATTGTCATTTGAATTTTTTAAGGGGATGACCCTGGGGCAGAGGGTGAAAGGGGGTGGAGTAGTTTCTGGTTAAAAAGTTGTCCTCCTTGACAAATCCTTTGACGTGCCTCGGCGTTTTTTCTGTTAATCAGTGGTTTTCGATAAACCTGTATATAGTGTATAAGTACGTATCAAGAGCTATTATAATCAAGTATCAAACATTGTTTTACAACAGAGCTCAAAAGAAGTGATACTACCGTGTATGGACACGCTCATTGCTGCAATATGAGGAATGTTTTAATGCAACGCTCAAGTAAAGCAGGAATGGTTCTCACAAAACCTACGTGTTTTTGATGCCATTGCACTGCATGGAAAATTGTACTAGAAGTTGTTTCGAAAGGATGGGAAGTATAGAGTCAATCTACTTGATCCCATTTTTTGTAAGGTCGCTAGGAAGGCGGAGGCCGGGGTAAAGGTAACCAACGCAAAATCGTTCAGCAGCTCTAGCGCTGTTAGATGCACACTGTGACTTCTTGTCAACAGTTATGCTTATGCCCCAAAAGAAACACGAAGTACTTAAAATCTGTTAAGCTATATCTACAGTATTCTACCAAGTATGTTGTCTCAAAATTAAATGATATATCACAAAATAATGCAAGTGTTTTGAATGCGCCCTCAAGTCTAAACAACAGCAATATGAAATTTGCACATAATGCATGATTTTGTATGACTGGTTGCCTTCTTTGTAGCGTTTGCACTTGTTTTGTGCGCTTCTTTCTTCTCCAGTGGAATCTCATCACTGTACACCTATTTGAAAGTCTTAAAATTTCCTGGATTGAAAGAAATTACTTATGATAATATCGACTTGGAAGACCCGAAAGATATTGTTACTACTTTATTCCAATGCTTGCGACCAATCTTTCTTTAACTTATAATGTTCAATCATCGATTTTCTGTTTCCCCCCTCTTTTGACGACCAAACAGTAATTACCAATCAAATCCCGCTTATTATCGTCAACGTAGTCCTTAAAAGCGCGGTGCCTATTTTGGTCGCTCATTACCGTTAGAATAACGAACAGTATTAACAATTAACGGTTTGTACACAGAGATTCGATGCCGCGTTTGAAATTGGAAATTGGAAGTTGCCTCTTTTACACAGGGTCGTATTTGCACTGTTTTTAAGTCTGTCGTCAAAGAGGAAGTCGCTTCCAATCTTCTCCTCCCAAGCAAGGCTGCTGTGGATCGAATTTATCGTGCAGGATAGGTGATCCTGTGTAACGTAGGGCATGTTTTCATAATATAATAATACATAAATAAATTATGCCCAAGTTCCTACAAATGTTAAATAACTGATTAGTAATCAGTTCGGGCTGCACATGATTGCGTCCATGAAGAACAACTAACAGATCGAAATTACTATTATTATAGGAAATTGGACCGATTTCTGAACTGGTAGTTCCAACAAATTGCGAACTGTTTTCGGAACCGGTTCTAATAGTCCTAGTTATAAAAGTTCGAATTTGATAGCACATGGGCGTTTACAGAATAAATGGCGCTGATGAGCTGTTGATTGCTAGGAAGCTGGATTTCGCGGCTGCCATGTTGTACCTTTTCTAACTTTTGGATCCTTCCGCACAGTGTAGGGAACCCTTTGAAACGGCAGTACCCGGGCCTTGGGGGCATGGTGGATTTGGCAGCAAAGATCTTAGCAAGCACTTCCGCCTTAGGCTTTGAGTGAAAAGATCCTTTTAATCTGGGTGGCCAGCGTCCAGAAAGACCGACTTTCTAATTTTCACATAATTTTGCGGCCTGAGCGAGTTGCTGCTGCCACAGCCGATTCTGAATGAAACCTAACATCCACAACACGGTGGTGTGGGTTACCCAGGGAAGACAGCAGTGCTGTAAGGGACAGGATGCGTGGTTAGAAAGAGATCCAACAGATTACTGGCATGTGAAAAAACGAGGGAGAGCAAAAGTAAGAGGCAGCAAGCAAAATTTGAGTTATGTTTTTGGTTTTTTTTTTTGAAGTTGAGGCAAAGCCACGGAATGTCTCTTCGGCCTGCTTCCAAAGAAACATCTCTGGAGCAGCCACAACTTTTCCGTTCTTCTCCAGGTTGGAGTGCACCTCAGAATGATTAATCCGTGCAGAATTGGAGATTTTGGTCTCTCTGGCTGGGAGCTATTTGTCATAACGAATGTGCCATGTAAATGGTGTACTGCTTTATTTCGATAAAATGACCCGCTCTCGAGAACAACGTTAATATTTTTTCAATATTTTTCATTAATTTGAACATATAAGTACTTATTTGTTTAGGTTGCTGATAAATTGATTAAATTTTTACTGAAACAAGACAGTCTTTCCCAAAATCGACCCATTTATTTGATAGTGTTCGAGATATACGGAATTTAATATTTGAAAAAGAAGAAAATATCGCATTTTCGACCCCATAAAGTTACAAAAAAAAATAATATTTCAAAGTATCCAAAGCTCTTAAATATTATGAAAATATAGGCTAGTAAAATATCAAAACATTTTTTGGGGGTGAGCTAAATACCGTAAATTTTAATAAGTGTAATAAAACCTTTTTTCTGGAGCCTGTTACATATCTAGATGTTTTGAATGCTATTGGTGAATTAAAAAATAAGCAATCTCTTGATATTTATGACCTAAACAGCAAAGTAATAAAACACTGTGCAAATACTCTTGCTACACCACTTGCTCATCTATATAACTCCTGTCTTTCTCAGGGAATATTCCCTGATGTTTTTAAGATTAGTAAGGTAGTACCAGTTTTTAAAAAAGGTGACCAATCTGATGTAAACAATTTTAGACCCATTTCCATAATTCCTATCTTTGGCAAAATTTTAGAAATAATTTTAAAGCACCGCCTTTTAAAATTTTTAAAAATAAATAACATC